TGATTGAGAAACAAAATAAACTATGTCCATATACTGGAATATCATTCAGACAAGGAAGAAAATTCTGATTTATGCCACTCATGGATGAATCTTAAAATATTGTGCTAAATAAAAGAAGCCAGCTACTAAAGGCCACATGCTATCTCCTGCCAATTTATATAGAATATGCAGAATAGGCCAATCTGTACATGCAGAAAGATTAGGAGTTGCCAGGAGCTGTGGGAAGTGGGGAGTTAATATGTATGAGGTTTGCTTTAAAGTGATTAAAATGTTAAGGAATTAGGCAGGGATAATGATTTTACAATCTTGTTAATATATAAAAACACTAAATTTTATGTATACTTTAAAGGGTGAATTTTATAGTATGTGAATTATAATACCCACACATACTCATAAGCCAGCAAACAAGAATTTTGCTGAGGAAAAGTATACAGGTAAGAAAACATGAAATTTAGGAAATAGAAAACAACTTGCTAAAGTGGCTGGTGCAAATAGTGTATGTTAGAACTAAAGCTGGAAAGGTGGTTGTAGTCAGAAAATGGAAAATCACTAGTAAAGAGTCATTTTAAAGTTTTTAGGTTTTGTTTTTTGATTTTTAAAATTTTTTTGGTACTGAGGATTGAACTCAGGAGCCTCATGTAGGCTAAGCATGTGCTATACCACTGAACTACAACATTAATGTACCAGTTTTTATCCCAAATAGCTACTAAGAGAAACTGATCTATTCTGTAGGGTGCTCTGTACAGTATGTTGACCACTAGCTTCATGTAAGCTATTGAGCTTTCTTTCCTTCTTCCCACCCTCCCTGTTTCTGTTCTTCCTTTCTCTTCTCTGTCTTTTTGATACTGGGATTATTACCCCTGACTACTATTGAGCTCATGAAATATATCTGATCAAAATAAGATTTTTAGTGCATAATGTGTTAGTTATACTGTATGATGTGTGCACTGGGTTTTGAAGACTTAATACCCCTAAAATGTAAAATATTTAATTAATACTTTTTTATATGGATTACATTTTGAAATAATAATGTATTTTATCTCTTTCTACTTTTTATTGTGGTTTCTAGAAAATATTAAATGTATAACACTCATTTCTTTTTGATTCTACTTCTAATACAGGCCTATTTTTTTTCTTGAATATTGAAATTGTTTCATTTCATAAAGAAATTTCAAGTTAGGTGTATCCTACAGTTCACTCAGTCTTTAAATCCTCATTTTACATGAAAGAAAAATGAGGTCTAAAGAGGAGAAATACATTTTATCCCAATGGGTTGCTGTAAAAGTATATTAATTCAAGTATCTATGGAGCTCTTGCTCTGCCTCAGCACTGAGTGTACAGAGATAATCAGAAGTAGTCACAGTCCTCAAAATACCTCTAATTCTGGACCTGGGATGTAGTTCAATGGTAGAACCCTTGCCTTTGCATGATTGAGTTCAATCTCCAGTACTGCAAAATAAAAAACAAAAAGCTTTGTCTGATTTTTTTTTTTTTTTTTTTTTTTTGTGATGCTGGGGATTGAACCCAGGTCCTTGTGCATGCGAGGCAAGCACTCTACCAACTGAGCTATATCCCAGCCCCTCTCTGATTCTTGAATGAGGAAACTTGTCATGACTCTTTGAGGAAAGGATATGTATATTATAGATAAAGGATACATATTATATTACATAGATATAATATCTACTGCCAAGATAATTATTTACATTAAGATAATGTTTAGGCGTTACCTATTAATACCTTAAGTTCAGCTTTATTTTACAGTGTGTATATGAATATGCCCCATTCAGAAGTAGTGTTTAGTTTTATATACTTATTATGTATTTGTATATTTTTTTTCTTTTCTTTTTCTTCCTTTTTTTTACAGGACCCAGAGCAGAGGGCCTTGTTCCTCTTGAATGTGATCCTCCATGTGGGTAGTTAAAACTATTTTACCTGCCCATTGCTTTCTGAAATATCTTAACAGTAGTGGCCAGTACAAGTGCCATCCATACATCTTATTTCACAGCCTTTATGCCATCTCATAGCCTCCTTCCATATAGACCTTTAGGACCAGTGGATACAACATAGTCATTTGTCTATTTTAATTATTAATAAATAGTCAGTCTGTTTCCAATTCTCATTTCCAAATGTGAAAACTACCTAGTTCTGAGGAGACTCTCCTTATTTTGGCTTTAGGTTCAATAGGATTATGACCCTGTGACCTTTTGGCCACTGTATATATAGCTCTTATTGATTGAATTATTTCCTTTTACATAACTAGAATTTGATAAGATATTCTTTGATCTCAAATGCAAACTGAGGAAACAGGGTAATTTCTGGAAAGCATAGACTTCTACAGAGTACTATATCATCTTGCGCATGTTTGGTGTTTAAATTTGAGCTATCAGTCACTAGTTTCAATAAGCTGGAGTTAACTTTCATCTCATGAAAATATACTTTAACATTTATTGGACCTAACTTTGAGCCCTAGCTTATTCGCTTTTAGATAGCCTACTAATCTTTAACTTTAAAAGTTGTACGTTTTCCTCAGTTGAAAAGAAACCATTTGAGATGGGTTCAATGGCACACACTTATAATCCTAGCTATTTGGGAACCTGAGGCAGGAGGATCACAAATTCAAGGCCAGCCTGGGCAATACAGTAAAACCCCTTCTCAAAAAAAGACAGAAACTATTTGCCTTAAATCTTTAGTGTCAATATTGTGAAATGTCTTTGCTGAGGTATGTAATAATAGCATTTGTATGCATTTCCAAATGCCATTTTTAGTATCAGTAATTAAAACCAGTTTTGTTAAAAATTATAATCTGTGACAATATTACTGCCATTAGAGCATTTTCTCTTAGTTTATTTGAATAATAATTTTTTGGAAAACAAATTCGCTATTATGTCTGTAGATTTCAAAGACAATAAATATAATAGTTCATTTCTGATTGCAGGTTAGATTATTTTTGAGTTTTCTCTATATACCTGTTCTAGGTTCTCAGGATAAAACAGTAAAACATGACATTCAGTTCTTGCCCTCATAGAACTCACATTCTAGGGATATTTGTTACTGAAAATAAATGGTTTTGCATATTCATATTCTGTTTCAAAAGTAAAATGTTTTTATTACTAGAACTTTTTCAAGTCTAGCTTTAGTGTGTTTAGGTGGAGTAATTATGCTATGGATTTCTTCATTAATGCATATTTACTTATTAATTTGTAGTTTTATGTCATATTTTGTTAAAATATGAGATAGTATGTTAACATAAGCAGGTTAGAAGCCAAGTGCAGTGGTACACGCCTGTAAGCCCAGCAGTTTGGGAGCTGAGGTGGGAGTATCAAGAGTTCAAACCAGCCTCAGCAACAGCGAGGCACTAAGCAACTCAGTGAGACCCTGTCTCAAAATACAAAATAGGGCTGGGGATGTTGCTCAGTGGTCAGGTGCCCCTGAGTTCAATCCTCACTACCAAAAAAAAAAAGCAAAAAAGTTGGAATCCATTATAGCAAATGTTTGTGCATCAACATGTAGTTCACTGTAAGAGGTGCTGTAGATTCAAATAGGGAGTAAGATTTCATCCTTCTCCTCAAGGGGATTACAGTGAAGCTGGGGAAACAGGACACATAGATACAAAAGATAAGTACCTCGTAATTCAGTTCAACAGATATTTATTTATTGAGTGGTTGGAGGCACTAGAATTCATAAGAAGCTATGTTAAGTCAAATGGGCAATTAGTGTGAAAAGTGATGTGGGAGCACAGGATAGGGTGTTCCATTACAAGGTTGTCAGGGAGGCAGCAGGGTAAGAGTTGATTATGTAAGCTTCAAAAAGAAAGACAAGTTGGATTTAACCAGCTACAAAGAAGTGGCATGGAAAAAGACATGTCACATTGAGAATTGGTGAGACAAGAATAAAGAAAATCATGAAGGACCCCTGGGCCTTACCCTGACCTTTTATGGGAAACCACCAAAGAATTTTAAACATCAGAGAGGGGTCATTAGATTTTCACTTATGGATGCATTGTGGTAATCATAGTTGAAGAAGAGGGCTTATATAGAGTGTCCAGTATGTGCTAAGGGTATTAAGTGTAATTGTAGTGAAAAGCTGCAAAGAACTGAAATGAGGAAAGGGTATTTGATAGCCTTAAAAAAAAAAAAATAAGAGAACCTAGATTGAATGAAAAACAGTTCGCAGCATATTCCTGGTATACATGGGTTGAGCAGTGGATTCCTGAGAAAGGCTTAATTAGTGGAGGAGGTTGAGTACTTGACTCATGGCAAGTCACTGTTTCAAAACAAGATGTCATGTCTGCAGGGTTTTGTTATAGACTCTGAGTTTGGTGACAGCACTCAGGAGAGCCAGAGTGGTTAGGGGCAGGAGTGGAGCATATTAGTTAGGATTTAGGAACACTAATTTTACCTGAATCTTAATGCATCTGATCTTGGTTTCAGTATTTTAAATGCATTAATTTATTATCTTATTTTTAACATTTTAAAACTTTTTTGCACTAGTTTATCTTTTTCCTAACATTTTAAATGCTTTTATGTGAAACATTCTGAGGACTGTAAACAAACTTAGTGTTTCACAAGATCTCGTTGAACACTATTTTCTTGTTCTTTGAGAAATTCTGACCTCAAACAATATTAAGAAGTCTGCATATAGCCATTTGTTGCATGTCCCCTTAGGATACCCAGGTAGTGTTTATCAAATACATAAATAGAAAAACTTAAAAATAGTTTGAACCAAAAGAAGAAAATCTATAGTTCATCTTCTAGAGTCACTATTAACATGTCAGTTATATATTCTAGATTATTTTCTACATGTGTATGCACATACACATACATTTGTAACCAAAAGGGAGCCATATTTTATAAATATTTTGTAATTTATGACCGTCTTTCCAAGCTAATAAATAAGTTATCTTCTGAATATAGATTGGTGGGATAGTTGAGTGAGGACACAACCCAAATATCAAAATCTTACTGAATAATTAAATTTTACTACCCTCCTATTTTTGTCAGCTTCAGTATCAGATACAGCACAGCAGCCATCTGAAGAGCAAAGCAAATCTCTTGAAAAACCAAAACAAAAAAAGAACCGCTGTTTCATGTGCAGGAAGAAAGTGGGACTTACCGGTAAGGACCTAAACCAAATGGTTTTTAATTATGTTTTTAAATAATACATGTCTTATTATTACTAACTTCAATTAAGATTATTTCTATTCCCAGGAGAGTTTCCATTAAATGTACTTCAGCTTATGAATTTTCTTAAAGAAATAAAAATAGCTTTAATTATGCACCTGAAAGTAAAATGAATAGCTTTTCCTTTAAAAATTCATTCCAGCTAAATTTGAGAGTATTAGACAAGTAATTCCAATATGCCAGGGGCTATGAAAAGGCTAACATGTAGTTCTGTCTTCAAGGAGAGGATATTTTAAAGTATGTGGTGAACCATGAAGTGCTTCCTGTATGTAAAATGGGGCTAATCATAAGTTGTGGTGCAGGTTCAGTGAGTTGAGACATGTAAGTAATTAACTTAGTGGGTGCCACACTATGTGTAATCAATATATGTTGGCTACTATAACAACATATCAGTACTGTTGAGAGAGGGAGAATAAAATGTTCCAAACTGTTTAGCAAAGAACATTACATTAAGTTCAGTCAGATTGCCACTAGGAAGTCAGAAGACAGGAGTACTGCAATTAATTTTTATAAAAGGAGTAAAGACCTGGCAAGGAAAGTATCATGAAGATAGGCTGTTGCCCCTGGGTCTGGAACTATGAGTAGGAATTATACGTGATGGGAATAGGAACATTTCAGGCAGAAAGAAATATTTGAACCAAATCCCCAAGAAGCAATATAGAGGCCTGTTCAGGGACTGTGAATTGGGGAACATAACCATAGTACAGGATCTGTGAAGAAGGGTATTGAATATCGAGACAAGATAGAGCTAAAGATTAAGGTTTCTACTGGGGTTAATTAGAAACTGGTTACAGCTATAAGTACGTTTATTGTTTACCATGGATAGGCATTATGCTGAACACTTTACATGAAATTCTGACTTATGGACCGAGATAAGATATTGAGTAAAAATTATGCTTTAGGAAGATTACTTCTGGCTAAGGAATGGATTAGAGACAATGAAGAAAGATTAGAGTCTGATCAGAGGTGTTTTAAACTGCCTCATACCTTAGCAAATAATGTATTTATTTAAAGACTACAACATAGATAAGAAATTCTAAAATATATTATCAAATAGGATCTTTTAAAATCTTGTCCTCTCTCAGACTTCATGATTACAAAGCTGAGACTTCATAATTTCTTTCTTGTCCAAACTGTCAGTCTAACCTAGTGTTGTTTGCTTCATTTCTCTTTCATTATTTGAAGTTACAGAATGTTTCTGAAGTAAAAAATGTGATGAAAGAAATTAATGTCAAATGTCAGTGTTTAAAATATTGATTCCTATGCTCCATTACAAAAATTCCATCATAACATAAAATCCTAATTTGGGGGAGCAAGACTGTCCACACATGTCAGTCTCTATTTTGATTTCAATTCTTGGGCATTTCCCTAAAAATAAGTGCAATTATTGCATGTTTTCCATATGTTAAGCACCTGATCCATTCCTCATTTAATCCTTACAGTACCTTATTGTTCCAAAATTACAGATGCAGAAACTGAGGCCCAGAGAGGCTAAGTAATTTGCCTAAGTTAGTAAGTAAATTGATACTTAGGCAACCTAACTCTGGATCCCATGCTTTTAATCACTCCACTCTAGTATAGTTCACATCTCCACCTGAGGTTAGCAAAAGAAGGCTATTTTGGATACTGTGTTCTTTGTTAACAGTTCTCTCAGAGATTTTTATTTTATCTTTCTTAATTAAATGTTAAGATTGGTTTCTTGAATAGGCTTATTTTCACATTGCAGTATTTGAGTTTTTAAAAATATTCCACTTTGCTGGGTGTGGTAGCACACACCGATAATCCCAGACTCCCAGAAATTAGGGAGACTGAGGCAAGAGGTTCGAAAGTTCAAGGAAAGCCTCAGCAAAATAGCAAAGCCCTAAGTAAATAGAAGACTCTCTCAAAAACTGAAAAAGGCTGGGCCCAGTGGCAAATGCCTATAATCCCAGCAACCTGGGAAGCTGGAGTAGGAGGATCACTAGTCGGAAGCCAGCATCAGCAATTTAGCAAGGCCCTAAGCAGTTTAGTGAGACCCTGTTTCAAAATATAAAGGGTTGGGCATGTAGTTCAGTGGTAGAGCATCCCTGGGTTCATCCCTAGTACCACAATTTTTTTTGTTTGTTTGTTTTAATAGTTTAAAAGTAAAATTAGGGGCTGGGATTGTAGCTCAGTGGTAGAGCACTTCCCTTCCACATGTGAGGCACTGGGTTTGATCCTCAGCTCCACATAAAAATAAATAAACAAAATAAAGGTCTACAACTAAAAAGATATATTAAAAAAAGTAAAATTAAAAATTTTAACATTTTCAATTTAGAAAACATATTTTGATAAGGAAGTAACACTGATCATGTCACAAGTGAAGAAACTTGAACTCAGAGAAGTGTTTATGATCTGATCCTAGTCCAAACCTATATTTATAGATAGGACCAAGAAGTGAAGCTCTCAGCTAGTGAACTCTGAGAACGTAGTTCGTGAAACCATTTTTGTAGAATGTTTAGATTACTGCCCTAAATACATGATGCTATTTAATATTAATTATGCCAAAGAACTTAATATTTCACCTTCCATCCTGCTCATTTATGTGTATTAATCCATTTTTAGGGTTTGAATGCCGGTGTGGAAATGTTTACTGTGGTGTGCACCGTTACTCAGATGTACACAATTGCTCTTACAATTACAAAGCTGATGCTGCTGAGAAAATCAGAAAAGAAAATCCAGTAGTTGTTGGTGAAAAGATCCAGAAGATTTGAACTCCTGCTGGAATACAAAATCCTTTGACCATCTGCAAACTAAAAATTGACTTGAGGTTTTTTTTTCCTAGTCATTGGGAATGTAGAGCAATGTATCTTGCATAGACCTTTTAATCATGCATGTCATCAGAAGAATAGATTTTTGTTTTTGTTTTGAAAATGACTCTGAACATTTATTTCCATTGCAGTTTCTGTGGCTGAAGAGACTTAAACTTTACAAGTATTATCCTTTTAAGATCATTTTAATTTTAGTTGAGTGCAGAGGGCTTTTATAACAAACGTGGAGAAATTTTGGAGGGCTGTGATTTTTCCAGTATTAAACATGCATGCATTAATCTTGCAGTTTATTTTCTCATTGTGTATGTATATATAGCTTTTCTCTGCAGCACGATTTCTCTTTTGATAATGCCCTATTGGGCACAACTAGTTACCAGTAACTGAATGTATCTTAATCAATATGGCTGCTTCTGTTTTTTCATTAACAAAGGTTATACATATGTTAGCATATAGTTTCTTTGCACCCACTATTTATGTCTGAATCATTTGTCACAGGAGAATATGTGCTGATGAGATTCCAAGTTTGTGTGTTTTTAATTTTTTTTTTTTTTTTTTTTTTTTTTTTTTTTTGCGTGAGGGAAGAAAAAAGCTGTATGCATTTCATTGCTGACTGCAGGTTTCTTTCAGATTACGTTCATTGGTCTGTGTGTATACAATATGAAGAATGATCTGAAGTAATTGTGCTGTATTTATGTTTATCCACCAGTCTTTGATTAAATAAAAAGGAAAACCAGAATGCTCTTTTGTATTACTTTTTCTCTTACTCTTTCTAATAGTTAATTTTGTCTTTTTAATCTTACTGTTTTTCTAAGCGTACTACTATTATTTGTCTCATATAGATTTATGGCTAATCTTATGATGATAAATTTTAATTTTTTTGGGGGGGGTACTGAGGATTGAACCCAGCCAGGGGCACTAAAACCCACTGAGTCACATCCCCAGCCCTTTTTTAATATTTTATTTAGAGACAGGGTCTCACTGAGTTACTTAGGGCCTCCCTAAATTGCTGAGGCTGGCTTTGAACTCACAATCCTCCTGCCTCAGCCTCCTGAGCCACTGAGATTACAAGCATACTCCACCGCACCCGGCTAAAATCTCAGCATTTTTTCAAAGCCAAGAATTACTTTCTGTCACTTAGATGTTAGATTTTCTAACCCTTGTCAGAGTTTTCTGTTCTGCACTCTGTCACAGTGAATTAACATTTAGTATATGCTGTTTTTTGGTAGGATTAGTGAAATGGAAAAAGCACAATTCAAACAACAGGGCAGTTGGAGAATTGTGAGTAGAAGACCCTCAAAAAACAATTTTTTCCTATGGTGGTTTCCATATTTATCTAGCAGCCAACCTTTTTTAAGCATGAAATACTACATTAAAAAAAAAAGTTGAACAGATGAAGATAGTGGTTAACAATACAAATTTCTCAGTTTAAAATTATTTGCTATTTTACTTACATGTTCTATTCACCTACATAAGGATGGTTTAATGTTTAAATCTATAAATTTAAATGATCACATTAACAGAATAAAATGAGAGGAAGCCACTGTGACTGTCTTAATACATTCAAATATAAAGTATTTAATAGAGTTAAACACCCATTCACGATTAACAAAATTTCTTGATAAATCTAGAAGGGAAATTCTCTAATAGTTTCTACATAAAACCAACCAAAGAAAAACCACTCAGGGGCTGGAACTGTGGCTCAGTGGTAGAGCACTCACCTAGCACATGCGAGACGCTGGGTTCAATCCTTAGCACCACATAAAAATAAAAAATAAAATAAAACAAATGTATTGTGTCCAACTACAACTAAAAAAAAAAAGAAAAACCTCTCAGAACCAAAAAGAGAAAAGTTGTTTCCTTTTAAAGTCAAAAACGGACTGTAGGTGTAGCTAAAGCATTTGCTAACATGCTTGAGGCCCTGGGTTCTATCCCCAGTACTGGGAGAAAATTATATTTTTCTTTCAGAAACAAATGAAGGCTTCCCCTCTCGTGGCTTATATTTAATTTTGTGTTGGAGAGCCCAACCAATGGAACAAGACAAATAGTCAAAAGAAGAAAGGAAGCACCCATCATTTGCCTGTTACATGATTCGGGTGTGTTTTTGTTTTTGTAGTACTGGGGATTGACCCTATGAACACTGCCACTGAGCTGCTCCTCAGTCCTTATTAATTTATTGGTTGGTTAGTTGGTTGATTGATTTAAATTTTGAGACAGGGTCTCTCTAAGTTGCCCAGGCTGGCCTTGAATTTGGCAATCCTCCAGCCTCAGTCTCCTGCGTAGCAGGGATTGCAGGTGTGTGCTGCTGCACCCAACTACATAATTGTTTTTATAGAAAATACAAATCTGGAAATAAATTACTAGAAATAATACTGTCTAGTTATCTAAATATAACATTAATTTTTAAAGAAATATTTTTTAGTTATATGTGGACACAATATCTTTCCTTTTTATGTGGTGCTGAGGATCACACATGGTAGGCAAGCTCTCTACCTCTGAGCCACAAGCCCAGCCCAAATACAACATTCATTTTTAGAAGTCACTTGGATTTCTTTATACTTATTAGAAAAACAGAAGATACCATTTACTAATAGCATCAGTGTAGTACCAATTACCTTGGACATTGACAATATATGCTGATCTAAATGATTCTAAAACATTGAGATAAATAAAATCTCAATAAATCCACATGTTCATGGATAGAAAGGCAATAAAAAGATGTCAGTCATTCCAAACACACCCATAAACTCAAAGCAATTCCCATTAAAATCCAACCAAAGTTTAAGATTTTGGGGGGGAAAGTACACTGGGGATTTAACCCAAGGACACTTTACAACTGAGCTATATCCCTAGTCCTTTTTCATTTTGAAATAGGGTCTTGCTAAATTGCTGAGGCTGGCTTCAGACTTACCATCCTCTATCCTCTAACTCCTGGGTCACTGGGATTACAGGTATTCTCAATTGTGCCTAGCCCCACCAGATTGTATCATGAAACTTATTTAAGTGATTCTAAAGTAAGGTAAAAGAATAAATTGGGGGATGGGGCTCATTGGTAGAGCACTCGCCTGGCACACATGAGGCACTGGGTTTGATCCTCAGCACCACATAAAAATAAAAAGAATTGTGTCCACCTACAACTAAAAAAATACATATTTTTTTTTTAAAAAGTACAATAGACCTAAAAAACAAAAAAAAAGAATAAATGGTTAGGGTATTTAAAAAAAGCAGTGAGGTTAGGACTTGGCCTGCCAAATGTCAGGACTCACTGTGAAACCATATTAATTAAAACAGCAGTTACTAGTAAAGAGACATAGTCGCATTTTCTAGTATTGGAAGGTTTCCATGCGATCTTTGTATTGCTTATGTTGATGAAAAGTGGTTCAGTCCTTCAGAAAGCTTGGCATTATCTTTTAAAGTTGGCTTTTAGCACATCCTATAATTCAGAAACTTCATTATATACCCAAGAATAACTTGCACATAGATTAAACAGGAGACATGAACTGGGAAGAATTCTCATAACACCATGTACAAAAACAGAAACCCAGAAATTACCCAAGCCCTCAAAGAGGAAGAGCTGAACGAATAAAACATGACATAGTTATACAATGGACTATCACATAGCACCCAAAACTAATGATCCATACTGACACAAAAGATATAATGACACAACAAAACAAAAATATGGTAAACAAAAGCAAAAATGAAGTGTCTTAAAAATACAGTAAGGCTGGGTGCAGTGGAACACACCTGTAATCCCAGCAGCTTAGGAGGCTGAGGTAGGAGGATTGTGAGTTCAAAGCCAGCCTTACCAACAGCGAGGCATTAAGCAACTCAGGGTCTGTGAGACCCTATCTCTAAATAAAATATTTTTTAAAAGACTGGGGATATGGCTCAATGGTTGAGTGCCCGAGTTCAATCCTGGGTACTAAAAAAAAAGTATAATAAGAATTAACAACCAACGGACAAAATATTCCCTTGTAAAAAGGTTGGAGGTAGGGCTGGGGATATAGCACAGTTGGCAGAGTCCTGCCTCTCATGCACAAGGCCCTGTCAAACCAAAAGAAAAACGTTGGAAGTATAACTCAGTGATAAAGTACCACCACCACCAAAAGAAAAACGTTGGAAGTATAATTCAATGATAAAGTACATAGCACGTGTGTGGTCCTTGGTTCAATCCCCAACACCCCACAGGAAAAGTTAGAAAATACATTTTCAAGTAACAGATGAAATTTATGTCAAAAGAAGAGGTAGTGGTGAAAACTGTCAATATCCTCAGGTGGAAGGCAGCAAGGGATGGGCTAGCAAATGGGAACTTTATGGGAATGATAGCCTCAGTATACTCAGACAACTAACAGCAGGCACTCTGTGCAGAGAATGTCATGAACCAAGGATTATGATTAATCCATTCTCTACCTTAATTCCAAAGTATTAAAAAGTTAGTTATAAAGCTGATTTGATGACCACATTTGAAATTGGAGTTTATGCATGAAACTGCTGTAGAATCAGCCTCAATATTCAATTTGTTTTTCTTTTTTTGTCACAAAAATCCATTCACAGTCTACAGGCTTCACTACACCTGAACACTAAAACCATAAATCACATTCTCTCATACTTTGTTCTTCATATATTCATTTGTCTGGAATTTCTGTGTCCAAGTCTAGCACAAAAATGTCTTTCCCCTAACATGAACTGCATAGTGCAATCTTGAAATTATTCCTTTATTCCAAGCATATGATATGAAAGCCATTTTTTTCCTGATGTGGAGACAGTTTATATGTATCTGATAATGGCTAAACTACCCTTTTATTTAAGTCTGTAAGAAACATCCAAACAGATACGCTAGAGAATTTAAGAAAGTCCTAAGTATTTGTTGTAGCATCTTTTCAGAGACTGGCTTCCTATTTTTTTTTTTTTTTTGTCCCTTCTTATTAATATGTAAGCATCAAGATTAATTCAGAAGGCCAGTAGAATGGAAAGTTAGTTAGGAATATGGAGATGAGATGGATAAAATCTAACAAAAGACTTTTAGCAACATCAGGAAATCTTTTGGCATCCCAAAAGACCACTAACATACTTATAATATCAAAAAGTGACTACCAGAAAAGAAAAAGGGGCCATTACTGCTGATCCCAGGGACATTAAAAGATAGTAAAGAAATACTATGAGCAACTCTATACCCACAGATTTGATAAGTTAGATAAAATGGATCAATTCCTTTGAAAGGCAAAATTACCAAAAGTAGTACAAAGAGAAATTATCTTTGCAGGCTTGTGTCTATGAATCACACAGAGTATGGTGGCACATGCCTAGAATTCCAGAGACTAGGTAGGCTGAGGCAGGAGGATGACAAATTCCAAGGCCTAATTTGGCAAGACCCTGTCTTGAAATTTTAAAAAGGGTTGGAATTGTGTGACTCAGTAGTAAAGCACCCCAAGATTTGATCCCAGCACCCCACCCACAAAAAAAGAAGAAAAAAGAAATTCAATCAATGGATTACATACCAGAAAAAAAGAAAGGCCTTGGTGAATTCTACCAAACACTTCAGATAGAAATTATACTAATTTTTCTACATTCTCTTCCAGAAGGTAGAAGCAGAGAAAATACTTCTTAAATTGTTCGGTGAGGCCAGCATCATCCCAATACTAAAACCAGACAAAGACATTACAAGATAATAAATCTGTGATGAGGAAACTACATAGTCTCTCCCTCTGAGATTGAGAACAAGGCAAATATGTCCCC